TGATTGCCAACAAGGGTTTTGCCACCAAGTACTAAGTCATGTTTTGCAGAGGGGTCAAATACTTATTTCCCTCATTAAAATGCAAATCAATTTATAACATTTTTGACATGCGTTCTTCTGGATTTTTTTGTTGTTATTCTGTCTCTCACTGTTCAAATAAACCTACCATTAAAATTATAGACTGATCATGTCTTTGTCAGTGGGCAAACGTACAAAATCAGCAGGGGATCAAATACTTTTCTCCCTCACTGTATACAAAACTCGACCTGCGGAGTGCTTATAACCTTGTCCGTATACGTGAGGGCAACGAATGGAAGACGGCCTTTATCACCGCACGAGGGCACTACGAATACCTGGTCATGCCCTACGGCCTTACTAACGCCCCTGCCGTCTTCCAATCCTCTATGAACGAGGTTTTCCAGGATATGATCAACCGCTTTCTCATCGTCTACATTGATGACATCCTGATTTACTCCCTGAAGGAACACATACAGCATGTACAATGGGTTCTTCCACGGCTGCTTGACCATAAGCTTTATGTGAAAAAACGGAAAAGAGCACCTTCCGTGTAACCTCAGTAAACTTCCTCGGTTTCGTACTGACACCTGGAGGGGTCAGCATGGATGAGAACAAAGTCACCGCCGTCAGTAACTGGCCCAAACCCCCACCAACGTTAAGGAACTCCAACGTTTCGTTGCGTTCTCCAACTTCTGTCGCCGGTTCATTCGGAACTTCAGTTCTACTGCCGCTCCCCTCACTGCCCTTACCAGCCAAAAGACCCGGACCCTTCAGTGGACTGATACCGCCCTGACTGCTTTCAACAACTTGAAACGCCTCTTCACCTCAGCTCCTGTCCTTCGCCAACCTGATCCGACCCTTCCTTTCACCCTGGAGGTGGATGCCCCCAAAGTAGGTGTAGGAGCCATACTCTCACAGCGGGTGGGAACACCTCCAAAATCCCATCCCTGTGCCTTCTTCTCCAGGAAGTTATCCGACGCTGAGAGGAATTATGATATGGGGAACAGAGAACTCCTCGCCATCAAGCTGGCCCTCGAGGAGTGGCGCCACTGGTTGGAGGGCACACAAAATCCCTTTCTCGTCCTGACAGATCATCGTAATCTGGAATATATCAGCGGGGCCAAGAGGTTAAACTCCAGACAAGCCCGCTGGGCTCTCTTCTTCACACTCTTCCATTTTCATGTTCCTTACATCCCTGGAAAGAAAAACGTAAAAGCTGATGCTCTCTCCCGCCAGTTTGACCTTCCGACCAGTAACTCAGACCCTACACCCATTCTTCCTTCCTCTTGCATTATGGGGCCGGTACAGTGGGAGGTTCACTCTGCCATACAGGAAGCCCTAACCTCAGACCCGGCTCCTCCTGAGACACCAGCTGGGAAGAGTTACGTACCAGCAGCTGTTAGACACCAACTGATGCAATGGTGTCACACGTCCTTTGGGTCAGGACATCCGGGCATTAAACGAACCACCGAACTTCTAGCCCGTAAATTCTGGTGGCCCTCACTGGCATCCGACATCTGGGATTACATACTCTCCTGTCCAGTCTGTGCCCAAACCAAAATCCCTCGTCATCTCCCTTCCGGTAAGCTTCAACCTTTGCCAATCCCTCACAGACCCTGGTCCCACATAGCTGTTGACTTAATCACAGATCTTCCTAATCCTCTGGTAACACCACCATCCTTGTCATAGTAGACAGTTTTTCAAAAATGTGTTGTCTGGTTCCTCTTCCTCATTTACCTAACGCCATGGAATTGGCTGAGTGTATGTTCCAACAGGTGTTCCGTCTGTATGGGATTCCGGAGGACATTGTCTCTGACTGCGGGCCCCAGTTTGTCTCCCGGGTGTGGCAAGCCTTCTGTGACCGACTGGGGGTTGCCCTCAGCCTCTCCTCCGGGTACCATCCCCAGACCAACGGGCAGACGGAACGCCTGAACCAAGAAATAGGGAAGTACCTCCGCCAACAATGTTCTGCCTCTCCACACGACTGGAGCCTGGTACTGTCCCAGCTGTCGACGACTGGTTTCGGCATAGTGAGCGGGTATGGGAGACCGCTCACCGGCATCTGCAGGAAGCCTCTAATACCAAGAAATGCTTTGCCTGGACAGCGTGTCTGGCTCTCTACCAGAGACATCCGGCTCCGCCTCCCTGCAAAACGTTCTGTCCTCGCTTCATTTGTCCCTTCAAGATAACCCATCGCATCAACCCTGTCACGTACCACCTCCAGTTACCCCGTCAGTATAAGATCTCCTCGTCCTTCCATGTGTCTCTGTTAAAACCGGTCACCTACAGTTCTCTTCATCCTCCAGTCTCAACCCGCAGTGCGCCCCCACCGTTGGACGTCGGAGGGGAACCTGCCTACGCCATTCAGGCCATCCTTGATTCCAAACGCCTGAGAGGTCGCATCCACTATCTAGTGTACTGGGAAGGTTATGGGCCTGAGGACCGGTTATGGGCCTGAGGCCTAACCCTAACCCTAACCCTGTGACCACGATTCCTGCCTTTTGCGAGGGCAAAATAAACACCTGCCGTGCTCTGCGCGTGAATCTACACCTTTTTCTCCCTGAGTATTCATTACTGTGTGTGTGTGTGTGTGTGTGTGTGTGTCAGGTTTGAAATCAGTGTCAGAGACATACCACAGTGCTTCACCAGAGTAAATAATTCATTGCAATACCCAATTAATCATTACAACTCTCTTGTGCAATGTGTGTTAGCTAAGCATTTATTTTTGCCTCATATCGAAAGTCAATAGGGTAATAAATACAAAGATCTCAAAAGACATGAAGGAAGTATTCTATACTACATATGGACGTGAAACTCCAGCTGTGACCACCTTAAGGGATTGGATCCTCAAAACTGTACATGTCTTTGTTCATTATTGAGATAAGAGACAGATGAGAAGAGATTATATTGATCCCCAGAGAAAAACTGCTTTCCAAACAGCCATGCAAAGTCATCCAATAGTTCTACAATAGTTAATAATATTGCAGTTGCATTAGACAAACGATATGTTACAGATTATATTGTGATACAAAGTTTGTTGGTGTTTCTGTTTGTGCAACACTGCACTTTCACATGTAAGTAGTCAAGCAAGATAAAACAACCCAAAACAAGTTAGACACTTCCTACAGTAACTGGAAGCTGTGAACACATTTAGAAACCTCGCGACGCGACATGGCCTAGCCACAAACCACTGTCCGTATCTGACAGTGAAGCATTTGATAATTTCACACGGCATCACATGAGACATACAGTGCCTTGCAAAAGTATTCATCCCCCTTGGCATTTTTCCTATTTTGTTGCATTACAACCTGTAATTTAAATGAATTTTTATTTGGATTTTATGTATTTCAAAATAGTCAAAATTGGTGAAGTGAAATGAAAAAAATGTACTTGTTTCAAAAAATTCTAAAAAATAAATAAATGCAGTGGTGCGTGCATATGTATTCACCCCCTTTGCTATGAAGCCCCTAAATAAGATCTGGTGAAACCAATTACCTTCAGATGTCACATAATTAGTTAAATAAAGTCCACCTGTGTGCAATCTAAGTGTCGCATGATCTGTCACATGATTTCAGTATATATACACCTGTTCTGAAAGGCCCCAGAGTCTGCAACACAACTAAGCAAGGGACACCACCAAGCAAGCTGCACCATGAAGACCAAGGAGCTCTCCAAACAGGTCAGGGACAAAGTTGTGGAGAAGTACAGATCAGGGTTGGGTTATAAAAAAATATCAGAAACTTTGAACATCCCACGGAGCACCATTAAATCCATTATAAAAAAATGGAAAGAATATGGCACCACAACAAACCTGCCAAGAGAGGGCCGCCCACCAAAACTCACGGACCAGACAAGGAGGGCATTAATCAGAGAGACAACAAAGAGACCAAAGAAAACCCTGAAGGAGCTGCAAAGCTCCACAGCGGAGATTGGAGTATCTGTCCATAGGACCACTGAATAGCTACGCACGCTCAAGCTTTCTGTTTTTTTTGTCTTGTTTCTTGTTTGTTTGACAAGAAAAAATACTTTGCATCTTCAAAGTGGTAGGCATGTTGTGTAAATCAAATGATACAAACCCCCCAATAATCCATTTTAATTCCAGGTTGTAAGGCAACAAAATAGGAAAAATGCCAAGGGGGGGTGAATACTTTCGCAAGACACTCTACCTTTTTTCCACGCTTTAGAGAATCACCGCGGTTCATCTAAATGTAACGATATCAGAGAACACAGCTTCTTCTAAGTGGTAAGATCTACACAATGTAATAATTGATGTAGAAGTAATTAAATTCAAATGCTTACAGCACAAATATACAATACCCAACTTTGCTGTTGTCAAGAATAACGTTATATTGTTGTTGAATACATAATGCTTACATAAACTAAGAGGTTTTGGGATTTCAAAATAGATTGGCAAAATGTCTGATCTATCAATCTACAAGCTGAATACTGTGTTCTTTCTGACTGTAGGATTGTAGAATTGCTTCAAATCATCAGCACTCACTTTACTATGAACAGACTATTTAACTCATCTTCTTAGAGGACTGAATCTGCTGTGTATAGACTATTTAATAAATCTTCTTAGAGGACTGAATCTGCTGTGAATAGACAATTTAATTAATCTTCTTAGAGGACTGACTCTGCTGTGAATATACTATTTAATCAATCTCCTTAGAGGACTGAATCTGCTGTGAATAGACTATTTAATCAATCTCCTTAGAGTACTGACTCTGCTGTGAATAGACAATTTAATCAATCTCCTTAGAGGACTGACTCTGCTGTGAATAGACAATTTAATCAATCTCCTTAGAGGACTGACTCTGCTGTGAATAGACTATTTAATCAATCTCCTTAGAGGAGTGACAACCCTAACCATACCATAAATCCAAAAGTGACTTGCTATTAAAGACTGCTGAGCTTGTGTTTGGTTAGTTACGATTTACCTTCATTTTCTTTTTTTTCCTAGTGACAAAGATCCTGAGGTAATGGTCACTCGTTGGCGGACGTGCACTAAGTTCTTCCTGGTACTGGTGTTTCTGTGTGTCATATACTATGCCCTGCTGGAACATCCCTACTACCCCAACCATCCCTTCCAGCGTCCCCCTTCCTGGAGGACTCCAGACCCTACAAGGGAAGACGAACTGTCATCCGAGAGCATCAGTCCTACTACTAATGATGAATCAACGTATTATACGGAAGCTGAAACACCAGACAACAAGGACACACCTACAGTATATGTTGAAGCTGAACCACAAGCTGAATTAGAAGATTACCTGGACACAATATCCATTCAGGACTGGCCATCAATAACACTGGCCACTGGACTGGCCATTGCTGTTCCATATGTGTCCCCAGGACCGTACCATGTAGAATACCCATCAGAGTACCACTTCATCCTGGATGAGCCGGAGAAATGCCGGGAGCAGAACCCCTTCCTGGTTCTGGTGGTGCCAGTGGCGCCCTATAACAGGGAGGCTCGTGACGCTGTCCGCAGTACTTGGGGCAGTCAGAACCTGGTTTTCGGCAACAAGGTGCATCTGTTCTTCCTGCTGGGACTGCCCAGTGGAGAGGGGACAGAGCAGCACCAGGAGAAGGTGCTGCAGGAGAGCAAAGAGCACCAGGATCTGCTGCAGAGCGACTTCATAGACAGCTACAAAAACCTGACCATCAAGACCATGATGATGATGGAGTGGCTGAGCTCTCGCTGCCCCAACGCCTCCTACGCCATGAAGATCGACTCAGACATGTTCCTCAACGTGCACAACCTGGTTTACATGCTGCTTCTACATTCTCCCAAGCAGAACTACATGACTGGAATGGTGGCAATTGGTGCAGCGGTTCTTCGGGACCCGAGCTCCAAATGGTACCTTCCTCATGAGGCTTTTCCTGAACCAGTATACCCACCTTATTCTCTGGGCCTGGGCTATGTCTTCACCTTAGACCTCCCCAGGAAGCTGGTGGAGGCGTCCAGGCATGTTAAAGCCATCTACATAGAGGATGTGTATCTGGGACTGTGTATGAGACACCTGGGCATTCGGCCTACTAACCCACCGATTGACAACCTCTTTCAGGGTTATGCTGAGGCCCAGGACCGCTGTCACTACATGGCTGTTATCACAACCATCCTCTACACTCATCAAGAGCTTCTGGACGTATGGAGAGACTTACACCAACCTGGGCCTGTCTGTTATTGAAAACAACACTCTGGGAAAGACAGGTAGCCTTGAGGTTACAATCTCGGAGCTGACAAAATGACAAATCTGTCGCTGTGCCCTTGACCAAGGCACTTAACCCCAATGCTCCATGGGTGCTGGTCAATGGTGTCCCTGGCCGTGACCCCACTCCCTGTGGGTGTCTTGGGGGGAGTTGGGATATGCAAGAAACACATTATCATAAGCACCCCCCATATTATTTCAAGGCCTTTGTGCACACAGTGTGTGTTTTTTCTTACTGACGTTCAGAGTCTAGAACCGAAAACGCAGTCACAGCTCAAACAACATAACCAAGACAAAGTCACAGCTCAAACAACACAACCAAGACAGTCACAGCTCAAGCAACACAACCAAAGAAACAGTCACAGCTGAAACAAAACTACCAGGACAGTCACAGCTCAAACAACACAACCAAGACTAAGTCACAGCTCAAACAACACAACCAAGACTAAGTCACAGCTCAAACGACACAACCAAGACAAAGTCACAGCTCAAACAACACAACCAAAGACACAGTCACAGCGCAAACAACACAACCAAGACAAAGTCACAGAAACAACACAACCAAGACAAAGTCACAACTCAAACAACACAACCAATGCACAGTCACAGCTCAAATAACACAACCAAGACAAAGTCACAACTCAAACAACACACCCAAAGACACAGTCACAGCTCAAACAACACAACCAAGACAAAGTCACAGTTCAAACAACACAACCAAGACAAAGTCACAACTCAAACAACACAACCAATGCACAGTCACAGCTCAAACAACACAACCAAAGACAGTCACAGCTCAAACAACACAACCAAAGACAGTCACATCTCAAACAACACAACCAAAGACACAGTCACAGCTCAAACAACACAACCAAAGACGCAGTCACAGTTCAAACAACATAACCAAAGACACAGTCATAGCTCAAACAACACAACCAAAGACACAGTCACAGCTCAAACAACACAACCAAGACAAAGTCACAGCTCAAACAACACAACCAAAGACACGGTCACAGCTCAAACAACACAACCAAGAAAAAGTCACAGTTCAAACAACACAACCAAAGACACAGTCACAGCTCAAACAACACAACCAAAGACACAGTCACAGCTCAAACATCACAACCAAAGACACAGTAACAGCTCAAACAACAAAACCAAAGACAAAGTCACAGCTCATACAACACAACCAAGACAAAGTCACAGCTCAAACAACACAACCAAAGACACAGTCACAGCTCAAACAACACAACCAAAGACACAGTCACAACTCAAACAACATAACCAAAGACACAGTCATAGCTCAAACAACAGAACCAAAGACACAGTCACAGCTCAAACAACACAACCAAGACAAAGTCACAGCTCAAACAACACAACCAAAGACACGGTCACAGCTCAAACAACACAACCAAGACAAAGTCACAGCTCAAACAACACAACCAAAAACACAGTCACAGCTCAAACAACACAACAAAAGACACAGTCACAGCTCAAACAACACAACCAAGACAGTCACAGCTCAAGCAACACAACCAAAGAAACAGTCACAGCTGAAACAACACTACCAGGACAGTCACAGCTCAAACGACACAACCAAGACAAAGTCACAGCTCAAACAACACAACCCAAGACACAGTCACACCGCAAACAACACAACCAAGACAAAGTCACAGAAACAACACAACCAAAGACAAAGTCACAGCTCAAACAACACAACCAAGACAAAGTCACAGCTCAAACAACACAACCAAGACAAAGTCACAGCTCAAACAACACACCCAAAGACACAGTCACAGCTCAAACAACACAACCAAAGACACAGTCACAGCGCAAACAACACAACCAAGACAAATTCACAGCTCAATCAACACAACCAAAGACAAAGTCACAGCTCAAACAACACAACCAAAGACAAAGTCACAGCTCAAACAACACAACCAAAGACAAAGTCACAACTCAAACAACACAACCAATGCACAGTCACAGCTCAAATAACACAACCAAAGACAAAGTCACAGCTCAAACAACACAACCAAGACACAGTCACAGCTCAAACATCACAACCAAAGACACAGTCACAGCTCAAACATCACAACCAATGACACAGTCACAGCTCAAACAACACAACCAAAGACACAGTCACAGCTCAAACAACACAACCAAAGACAGTCACAACTCAAACAACACAACCAAGACAGTCACAGCTCAAACATCACAACCAAGACAAAGTCACAGCTCAAACAACACAACCAAAGACACAGTCACAGCTCAAACAACACAACCAAGACAAAGTCACAGCTCAAACAACACAACCAAAGACAAAGTCACAGCTCAAACAACACAACCAAAGACACAGTCACAGCTCAAACAACACAACCAAAGACTCAGTCACAGCTCAAACAACACAACCAAAGACACAGTCACAGCTCAAACAACACAACCAAAGACTCAGTCACAGCTCAAACAACACAACCAAAGACGACAGTCTCAGAGTTTTGAGGTGACTAAAAGCCACAGACAGGAAGGTGCAGGCAGAGACAAATGCGACTTCCCCTGTCATTGACTGTAAAATGATGTCAGCGTTTGTGAGACTGAGACGCCTGAGACTGAGGATGAGTCCCAAATGACACCCTATATAGTCTCTGGTCAAAAATAGTGCATTATATAGGGGATAAAAAGTAGTGCCCTATATAAGGGATAAAAAGTAGGGCGTTATATAGGGAATAGGGTGCCCTTTGAGATGCGGACACTGAGACAACACTACACAAGGATGAGAATGATAAACAACACTGATCATTTGGTTCACAGTAGTTTACAGACAGATCAGGATTGCCCTGTTTGAGAGAATTTCAAGAATGGTGTATGTACTCTGAAATAAAGTATTTTTTTATACAACTGGATATGAATGATTGTAGACGTAGGCCTACATCAAATATTAGTCTATGTAGCCTATTTGTTTACCACTGTCAAGAATGGGAAGCAATTTTCGTTTTAATATATTGACTTAGTTTTCATCCTGTATTTGAATATATACGTGGTTTGTTCCCAACATCCATGTGCTCTTTAAGATGTAGGCTAGGTCTCCACACTCCCCTTGGTCAACAGGGCTTGGTTGTTTGCCCAACAGTCCTGTTTCAAGTTCCCTGAACTAAATCCATGAAGACACATTCAGCCAGGCAGTTGCCTAGAAACACAGCCTGGTCTCATAGACTAGACGTAACATAGTACATGTAAAAACGTCACGTTCAAATTAGTACGTTATGTTGTGTTTGGTGTGGTATGGTTACATAGGACAGAAGGTTATGCAAGTCAAAAAACGAAAGGAGGGTGGTTGGTCGGGGTGGATAGGTGTGCGTATAACGTGAACGTCTAGCAACCCAAAGATGATTGGAATTTCATCATGGATTAGCAAGTTTTCAACTGTTTACTACTTTTTAGCTACTTTGCAAATATTTAGCATGTTAGCGTACCCTTCCGCTAACCCTAACCTTAACCTTTTAGCTAACCCTTCCCCTAACCATAACCTTAACCCTTTAACCTAACATCTAACCTTAACCCTAACCTTGACCCTAACCCCTAACCCTAACCCCTAACCTAGCTAACATTAGCCAGCTAGCTAACATTAGCGTTAGCCACCTAGCCACCTAGCTAACGTTAGCCACAACAAATTGGAATTCGTAACATTTCATAGGTTTTGCAATTTCCAACATATTGTACGTTTTGCAAATTCGTGACATATTGTACTTTTTGAAAAATTCGTAGCATATTACATAAATTGTAACTCGTAACATACGAAATGGACATTACATTTTACATTTCAGTCATTTAGCAGACACTCTTATCCAGAGCAATTTACAGTTAGTGAGTGCATACATTGTTTTTTTGTGGGGGGGTTTTCCATACTGGCCCCCCCCGTGGGAATCGAACCCACAACCCTGGCGTTGCAAACGCCATGCTCTACCAACTGAGCTACAACTGAGCTACATCCACAAATCAATACATACCATAAATACATACCATACGAAACGCAACATATCATACTAAATGGAGTGACTCTGATTTATTTACAGAATAATACGAAACGCTTTGATACCAGGGTGAGAAACAAGGTAATGAAGAGAGTCCCAAATAGTCCTTAAACAGTCTGGTCACATGGGGCCTCATTTAAAAACGTAGCATACACATAACATATGACCCAACTGCACCAGTTTTCACGCAAAAGTTGGCATTTATAAAAACTAAAATTGACGTGAGAATGTGCTTATCCTCCTGCCACCTTTAGACCATGCATAGGCATAGTTAATTTACCATTAGTTAGAAGAGCAAAAACTATATATTTATATTTGTTGCAGAATAAACGCCTCGCCTTTTCTGACTGTGATGGTTTTATTCTCTATTTCAGTATTTTGCTCAATGCGATCGGATCAGAAGGGGAGTTTAACAGCGGAACAGACGGTTCACGTTTTCCATTGAGGTCTAGGCTACGTCTGAATACTGTAATTTCACATTTCTCGAGTAGACCATATTTCATTTATAAACACAATACATAATACATATATCATAACCATTGCAGAATAAATTCCTCACCTTTTCTGGCCATGAGTTCATATTCCCGAAGTAGCCATGCTCATCTCTCATTTCATTTGGCCTATTAGATTGGCTGTTATAATTTCAAGTTTTTTGCTCTATCCGAAAGGGAGCGCGGTTTATAACATACAGTAGAATTTTAACAGGTGAACAGACGGTTGATCTTTTGCATTGAAGTGTGTACGCTACACTGTAAGTAGGCCTACTGTAGTTTTCTATTTTTTTCCCCAAGTAGACAAAACAGTATTGAATTCAAACGATATGTTTACAGGTCCACAACAATTTGCAATTGATTTTGTCGGTCAGATACTGCGAAAGAAAACATTCTCCCAACCAGTGGTGTAGTGGAGGGTACACACAGGTACACGCCATATACACACTTATTTTTCAGTGGGCGTTGCGTCTGCTCACTTCTTAATCCCCTGGACTCCCAGTGGACAAACGGATACGTATCAAAGTAGTGTAGTGGAAGTATATGACATGTTAATTAATACGGCTGATGAAACAGATCAGATTGTTTAGCTTAAAATGTTGAGAAACTATTGTACACACGCCGGTAGACCTACAAGCGGTTTCATGGAAAGAGATGGAAATATCTGTTAGAAATGTAGAGGGGGGGTTAAAGATGTAACAACTATCATGGGTTGCTAATATGACTGGGATATTGCCTTTGGCTGCTAGACAATGAAAGTGCTAGACAATGGAGAATGAATATGAGGAAGTCTTTATAAAAAAAGAATTGCATCCAGGTTTCTATGGTGGGATTTTGGCTATAGGCTACATTGAAGCAAGATAAGACATGCCTCATGATATAAACTAAAACGTCAAGGTTACAAACAATTAAGGAACAGGAAAAATATAGCGATGTTAATGCTAGGCCTAACCGTCTTCTGGTAAATGGAAAGGCTTTCCCAAAAACCTTCTCAGTTAAAGGTTAACTGGCTACAAAGTAGCCTACCTGGCAGAATGATGTCATGATTATTTGCATCAATCCAGTGGCCATTTATTTAGCAAACTCCATCTCATGTACAACAGAAACACTGCTAACCAAACAACAGTGCTAGGTGCCTTCACACTTGAATTAAAAAGGGCAGCTACACTCAAAAATCTAAATTTCTTTTTAAAATTTCACAGACCTCAAAAGTGGTCTCCTGATGTGGTTAAAGCATTGTTATGGACTTAGAACACACAATGTTGTTGTATTTCTGTAAAATAAAAAATAAAAGTCACTTTGAGAGCGAAAACTGAAAAGAAATTGGGAATATTTTGAAAACTTGGAATTTCTGACTCAGTTGACTGCCTATTTGATCTGTGTCAATAGTAGGGATACTGTTAGTCTACTTGCACTGTACATTGTTTCTCATAGAATTGTTCACACAGGGTGCCTTTCCTTCGCTGGGCAGGCCGTTTGGAAATGTTCTGGCAAAATGTTAGTATACCCACTCCTCCAGGCATGACTACACCTCTGCTGCCAACACCTCCAAATAGGCCTACATTTGATCAAGTTCGCCATTGCTATATCCTTTTGATTCTTGGCCTAATTCCAATACTTCCAAAGAATACAGCTGTTTTATTGTCACCATAAAACAGGGGTTGGCAACAAAAACCGGTCAGCGAGGGACTTTCTTTGGCCGCCTGATTTTTTTTTTTTTTTTTTATATATATATATATATAATTTATTTGTTGTTGAAGAAAATAAAAAAGACTCAAAAATCACCAGGAATTCAGCAAAACATTAGTTGAACTTAGGAAATCTGTTCCCAAGTTTTCCCATGAATAAAAAATAGACATATATGACCTTGTATGTAATCAAGGTATGAAATTATTGCTATTTTTAAATAAAACTTTTTGTGGGGCTTTTTTGTGGTCAATTTGCAGTGTACAAATTATTATAATTATGTTCCTTAACCCCGACCATCCGCTCGGACAAAAATCGGGCCCATGGTCCCCTATTGAACCCTGAATAGTCTCATCATCATGTTCCTTAGTTTATATCCCCTTCAGAGGAGTCCTGTTGGACTGACACATGAGATGTGTGAAACAAGAATGCTTTGCCCGAAGCAAAACTGGATCATACATTCACTGACTTACCTGTAAAGTGACACCATTATTTGTTGTGTGTGTGTCTGTGTGTGTGTGTGTGTGTGTGTGTGTGTGTGTGTGTGTGTGTGTGTGTGTGTGTGTGTGTGTGTGTGTGGTGTGTGTGTGTGTGTGTGTGTGTGTGTGTGTGTGTGTGTGTGTGTGTGTGGTGTGTGTGTGTGTGTGTGGTGTGTGTGTGTGTGTGTGTGTGTGTGTGTGTGTGTGTGTGTGTGTGTGTGTGTGTGTGTGTGTGTGTCTGTGTGTGTGTGTGTGTGTGTGTGTGTGTGTTGTGTGGTGTGTGTGTGGTGTGTTGTGTTGTGTGTGTGTGTGTGTGTGTGTGTGTGTGTGTGTCTGTGTGTGTCTGTGTGTGGTGTGTGTGTGTGTGTGTGTGTGTGTGTGTGTGTGTGTGTGTGTGTGTGTGTGTGTGTGTGTGTGTGTGTGTGTGTGTGTGTGAAAGAGCGAGATAGAGACATACAGGAAGAGGTTGGCATTCTATCCCGTACACACATCCAAATAATAAAACACTACATTCACTGCCTCTGCCAGACTGTGGCCTGTGCTGAGGGATGACGGAGAGTTACATGAGCCTTTATCACCCAACTGAGCCAACCTGATGATATCCTGAAAGGTGGAAGCATAGCTCAATCATTAACTACACAGGACAGGTATGATGTAGACAGATGATTCGCTTTCACTTCTGGTTTACACACAGACGGTATAGACTGGACAGTCAGGAAGAAAGAAAGAAAGAAAACCACAAACACAGGTACGTAATGATATGTAAAACAGACTTGTCTGGGGAGTAAAGGGGAGGGTAGAGGTGAGAGTTTGAATCTCTCTCCACTAACAAGAGGGGCGTGACCAGTACGGGGTCACATGGGTCACTTGGTGAGGGTTTTGTTACTACGCTGATAAATGACAATATCTATCCTGACCTTTGACACCAAGGACATGTGTGTGTGTGACCGGCTCTTCTGAAATAGTAGTGGAGCTACATAATGTGGTAAACTATTGTAGACTCTCGGGGAGGGTACCGGGTTTAGAGATCAAATCTACCGTTACTGGAAAAATACAGGGGCCATTCACTGGAACTGTCAAACAACATTATGCCTTAGGCAAAAGAGCAATGTTTTTTTTTCTCTCACGTTTATGGCAACTGCTCTTCAGTGAAGAACATCTAAAGCCTAAACCCAAATGGTATTCGTGTCTACTCTACTAAATGCCAGGATGTTTAGACGTGGACTTTCAAGCATTTTAGTACCCAATTAGGAAATGAGAAAGTACCATAGAACATAAAGTATAGATAATACATAGAAATAGAGTGTATAGATTACGTAAAAAGATACTGTCTTATACTGCTGTACATGGGGGTTGATAGGTGTCTGTAGGTTAATTATTGTCTGCTTTAGAATCAAGATAAAGGTTCCTTGTTTTACCCAGTATAAGTTACTATCCAGAATTTTTCAGGCGCAATCTTTTCCGTTATAGAGTTATGGCTTAACCACTCCTCTTTAAACTCTTACACAATGGGAGCTCCGTCTCCGTAGGACATAGTAGCGGCGAGCAGTAAGGGAAATGATCAAAGCGTACACACCTTCCCTGGATTGTTTGTCAAGGACTAACATGTCTTCTCTCAACAAAAAAAACAAAAAACACCTTTAGGGAAGCGTTCTGTCTCAATTATCGTTTTGGTAAACTAACTGGCGTGTAAAAAGCCTGTGTTTTTTGACGACGTTAACCGTAGGCACACATTCCTTCTCACGCAGTCACCTTCCTCAACCAACTCCCACGTCACATGGGAGCTTGTCAGCCAGTGGTAATGTTATGTCCCTTAGAAGGAAAAGGCTGTGTGGACACTCGACACCTGCAGACTGACATTTCATTTCAGAATTGGTTCAAATGAGGTTAAGGTAAGGTTCAGTTTTATATTGTGGTTAGTCGTTTTGCATGTCAGGAGTGTTCCCCATTGCCTCTCCCACCTCTGAAGCCTGAAGCAGGTGAACAGGTGACTTAGTTTTTGGCTCTAAGAACGTGACCGTGTGGCTCTGACTATTATCGTTGCCAAAACAGGTCTCTGACCTTGAGGAACATACATTTGAGCAGCATATGGGACAAACAAACTGGTTCTTCAATGTTGGTTTAGTGGCAAAGTATTTAAAAAAGTACTACAGCCAATGTGTTGGACGACTTCTAACAGATTTTGTACTTACAATAACAAACAAAAAAGTATGATTGCTAATATTTCTGAAATCATAATGTAAACATCTTCATGACAGAAGTTAAAATATACTATATCCCAGCACCTGCTTGAGCTCTTTCTTTCTCTCTCTCTCTCAGACACACACGGGTGATAGGTGGTTTGTAAATGTTGAAATTGACAGTGATATTTCGTTCCCGGTCTTAAAAAGTCATTCTTCTTTCTGTTCATGACACGTGATTGACAGATGGAAGTCCATGAGACCATGAGAGAGAGAGATGATGATGAGAGAGAGAGATGTCAACCACACAATAAACGACAGAGAGAGCAGCTGTGCCCCAGACATGCTGTGACTCATAAAGCAGACAGCATCCCTCTCTTCTAAACATCGAACATTCAAATAAAATCTAGTGCATTATGTTGATTGGTTGTATACAGTATGATGAAATGAACATAGCAAATATGTGAAATAAAAACATCTTATATCATACTAGCTATAAAATATATTCACTTCCATTGTGAATTTAAACCAATGTAAAGGAGTGGCGAATCAATCAGAGAAACAGTGGCCAGATACTGACAGTAAGCTGTGTTTTTCTCAACCTTGTGTTTCAGCGGTACTGATGATAGCCAGCAGGGGGCAGAGAGAACGCAGCCAAAAAAGAGACGCTGGTGTCGCCCCAGCTGCCTTGGCCTGTTTCTGTTCCTGGTCGTGATGATGATTGTGGTCTCCCTGGAAATCGACCTCAAAGAACTGTCATCTATCTGGAGCTACACCTGGTGGAGGGAAAACCGGACCTCACCTTCAACAACCAATCTAGCAGCAAACATGTCAGTTGCGATTCAGGAGAAATACCATGTAGAATACCCACATGAGTACTCCTTCATCATGGATGAGCAGGTGAAATGCCGGGAGCAGAACCCCTTCCTGGTTCTGATGGTGCCAGTGGCGCCCTATAACAGGGAGGCTCGTGACGCCATCCGCAGTACTTGGGGCAGTGAGAGGCAGGTACTGGGCAAAGAGGTGCGTCTGTTCTTCCTGCTGGGACTTCCCAGTGGAGAGAGGACAGAGCAGCTCCAGGAGAAGGTGCTGCAGGAGAGCAAAGAGCACCAGGATCTGCTGCAGAGCGACTTCATAGACAGCTACAAAAACCTGACCATCAAGACCATGATGACGATGGAGTGGCTGAGCTCTCGCTGCCCCAACGCCTCCTACGCCATGAAGATCGACTCAGACATGTTCCTCAACGTGAACACCTTGGTCAACATGCTGCTTCACGCTCCAAAGCAGAACTACATGACTGGAATGGTGGCAAGTGGCGCTGCAGTTCTTCGGGACCCGAGCTCCAAATGGTACCTTCCTCATGAGGCTTTTCCTGAACCAGTATACCCACCTTATGCTCTGGGCCTGGGCTATGTCTTCACCTTAGACCTCCCCAGGAAGCTGGTGGAGGCGTCCAGGCATGTTAAAGCCATCTACATAGAGGATGTGTATCTGGGACTGTGTATGAGACACCTGGGCATCAGGCCTACTAACCCCCCCAGTTGGAGACTTTTTCTGGGGTACACAGGTGCCCAGAATCGCTGTTACTACAGCTCTGTCATCACGACCATCCTCTCGACTCCTCAACAGCTACTGGACATATGGAAAGACTTGAAGAAACTTGGGCCTGCCTGTTGAAACATCACAGGCTGGTTTCCCGGAACCCAGATTAAGACTATTCCCAGAATAAACAAGCACTTTCAATGGAGATTCTGTGTCTCGGAAATCTCTTTTCCAAACATTCTCACAGAAATAAACAGATAGCACTGCACCTTATCCATACATGTATAGAGACAGTGGGTATCATGTGTATTCACCCCCCTTTGGATTTCTTCACATTGTGTCGTGTTACAAAGTAAAAAATGGTCCTTTATTGTCAACGATCTACACAAAATACCCTGTAATGTCCAAATTTCAAAAATATTTGAAAATTTCTTAAATATTAATGAAAATTTAAACACCAACATACCTTGATTAGATAAGTCTTCACCTGCCAGATTCAATACATGTTAGAATCACCTTTGGCAGTGATTACAGCTGTGAGGCTTCTTGGGTAAATCTCTAAGAGCTTTGCACACCTGGATTGTGCCCATTATTATTTTCATAATTCTTCAAGCTCTGTCAAGGGGTTGGAGGGTCATGGCTAGACAGAAAAACGTATCTGTGTAAATCGAGACCAGCATAAAACAGAGATAAAGACAAAGATAACTTAGACCAGGATAACTTAGGGCACCTAGCGAGAATAGGCAATTATGGAAGACAAAATGACCGGCGCAAACCCAAACCCATCCACTAAATTCGACGCCTGAGGTGTCCATCATTATAGCAGGCCCTACCGTTAAAAACAGGGAGAGGATGCGATGGAGAGAGCGACGGTACTTCTGACGGAGGGGATCCAGTGTGACCCGATGCCTTTGGTAGTAGCTGTGGAGTGGATGCGGGGGGCCAGGGGCCAGGGGGGGTCCCTCGCTATGATCAAGCTGGAACTGCGCTCTGTCCAGGAGAAAGTGGAAGTCCTTCGGCAGAAACAACAAAAAGTGACTTCACAGATCTGAACTTCAGAACCTCGGGGAAATCCCGACCCCGGGTAGAACTTCTACGTCACTGGGAATGGGCGAGTGATGGATGCAACAGCCTTCACCTGGTCCTGATGCTGGTAGCAGGGGGCCGGGAGTCGAGGAGGAAGGATAGCGCTGAAGACTGAGACTCACCTGCCCAGCCATTAAGTGCTGACCAGTTTACCGTTAATGGTTGGACTGCTTTGAACTGTGAGCTAAGACAATTTGATTGTTACTTTCACTGAATCCTGACATTATATCCCTGAATGACACATCTAACAGTTCCGCATTCAATTGAAATGGACGGGTACACTTGGTTTGGACATAAGAGGAAAACGCATGTAAGAGCACCTAAAGGATCTGGTGGAGTTAGAAACAAGATACTTGAGTCCTATAAAGTAATTGTGACTGACAAATCAGTGGATGGCATAACGGGACTGAGATTTCAGCATCGCGTATTGGAATATCGGGATTTTAAGACCCCTTGAAGTGAATATATTAAAAACTTCTTTGATGAAAATGTTTTTTCTGGCATTGCTGCTATTAGCCCATACAAAAGCATTGAATAACAGATTCACCACATGGAACAAGAGATAGTCCCTGATAGATTAATTATTAATGACTAATTATTACACCCTGAAACTGTGTATAATATGTTAGAAATGTGTGAGTGTAGGACCAGTAAAGACTATGGCATTGAGCCACTATTTAGCAATGTGAGTAAGAGTTAGGCCAGACAACAAAGGCAACTGAGAAACTAAGATAAAGAGGCCTCCCAATTTAGGGAGGGGAGAAACTGTTATGAAAACATGGTGCAGAATATTGTGAGAACGGCGACAACAAAGGCAACTGAGAAACTAAGATAAAGAGGCCTCCCAATTTAGGGAGGGGAGAATAGGGGCTTTAACTGTAACAATGGAGGGCACTTCTCTAAAGAATGTGAGGCCCTGTGTCACGCCCTGGCTCGGGGGACACTGTTATGTTGAGCCAGGGTGTGTAGATCTATGTATTATATTTCTGTGTTGGCCAGAGTGATTCCCAATCAGAGGCAACGAGTGTCAGCTGTGGCTGGTTGTCTCTGATTGGGAGCCATACTTATAGAGGCTGTTTTCCCACATTAGTTGTGAGATCTTGTTTCTAGTTGGTTTGTGTTAGACCGTGAACTGTCACGTTATCGTTTGTTTATTTTGTCGTATAATCGCTAAATAAAGAGTATGTTTGCCTGCAACGCTGCGCCTTGGTCCTCATCTGTTCCCGACGAGCGTGACACCCTGTGTAAATACTGTGACAAGATAGGCCATAACTTTTCCCGCTGCAAACATAAAGGAGAGGGCAAGAAGGGAAACCGGGGAGAGAAGAGAGAGAGAAGTCCATCCCCCAGCTTTGAGCGTGAGGAAGAGGAAGATAAGGCGTGACTAGTCCTTGAGGGAGAAATAGTAGACTCTAGTGGGGGGAAGACTAAGGAACCCTTTGATCCAAATTGTGAGGTGTTTGAATTGGCTACTATTGACTTAGCACTTCAACAGGAACAGAAACCTTATTTGACATTGACAGTAATGGGTATGAAAATTAAATTCCTTTGTGATACGGGAGCCTGCAGGACAGCAATCTGTGCAACAGACAAGCCAGATGGAGTCAGGATTGATGGGGAGAAAATCATAGTGCGATCTGCCTCTGGTCATCAATTTATTGAAAGGTTATCAGCCCCAATAACCCTAAAACATGACCAATCAGGATGAGAGGCAACCATACCCATCCTGATATCTAAGCTGTGCCGGGTAAATTTACTAGGACGTGATGTAATGACTAAATTGAATGTGGCTGTCATTTCCGCTGAGAGGGGAATGAAAGTACACATAGTCAGAGACAATATGGTGGTCTGTGGGGAAGGGGAGCCATGTTATTGGTGTAAGCAAGATTTGTTAAGGGGGGGAATAATTGATATTCCCCGAACCTTGATGGAACTTGCTGATGATGTAGTACCAGGCCCCACTAAAATGTCCCCCGATGACCTACACTGTACTCTCTGGTATGACAAACACCCAGGTCCAGATGCAATATATGAGGAAGCATTATTTAAAACCACAGAAAGGACTATAGCCTTGAAATGGTTTCACTATGACAACACCCACGCAGTAGTGGAGGTGGAACTAGGGCCCCAAAGTCAGAGACTGTTCAGGGAAATATGGAGCCCACATGTGTCCCTAGCAAAGGAGCCAGCAGAGGACTGGAAAGACATGGGCCAGTGGGTATCCAAGGGTAAGAGGATCACTGATTGGGTCAATATTGTGAGTGGTGATCAACACAGCCCATCCACAGATAGTACATTTAGATGAGAATAGCAGATGCTGAGGAGAGGAATACCTGTTGACAGAACAACAGGAGTCAGACTTAAAAGAAGTTCCAGAGCATTTGTGGTCCCGGGGTCCAGCATACGTAGGATTAATAAAAGGGGTAATTCCAGTACAGGTGATACCCAAATCTAATCATAGGCCGTGTCAGAAGCAATACCCTATGAAACCAGAAGCAATAAAAGGTTTGCAGTTTACCAAGAGCAGATTGTGAGGGACCTTGAGGGAGGGCCAATTCTCGGGGAGATAGTGAGGCCAGAAACAAAGGTGCAGTGTCCTGGAAATCACAGTCTGTTTTTTTTTGTTTTTTTCAGTTCTGCTGGGAGTACATTGGATGATGGGGTTTTGTGTTGAATTAGAGACAGTGAGACTATTAGTCAATACCTAGGAGAGAAGAGAGGTTACGGTAGCAAAGACAGACAAGAAGGAAATGGTAATAGTGGAGACAGGAGTGAGTGGAAGTGTTACAATTGTGACAAAACGGGACATTTTGCTAGAGAATGTGAGGAACCGTGTAGTTACTGTGCAAGGAAAGGGCACCAGTGTCACGCCCTGGCTCTGGGGACACTGTTATGTTGAGCCAGGGTGTGTAATTCTATGTTTGTATTTCTATGTTGGCCTGAGTGACTCCCAATCAGAGGCAACGAGTGTCAGCTGGTTGTCTCTGATTGGGAGCCATATTTAACTGTCTGTCTTTCACTTTGTGTTTGTGGTTTCTTGTTCCGTGTTGGTTGGTGTATGTAACCAGGGACGTCACGGTTTCATTTTGTTGTTTTGATCGTGTGATCATTGAGCAAATAAAGAAGATGTTTGCCTTCAACGCTGCGCCTTGGTCCTCCTCCTTAGACGAGCGTGATAGAAGAAACCACCATCCTTTTTCTTCACAAAAAAGAAACTCGAGGACGCAGGGGAAGTGGAAGGCCGTATGTATCCTTGTCTCAGACATTCGTCTATGTAAGTCTCCATAGCTTTCTTCTCCTCCTGAGACAGAGGATACACATGGCTCCGTGGGAGCGCAGCTCCTGCCTGGAGGTCTATCGCACAATCTCCCTGCCTATGGGGCGGCAACTGCGTCGCCCTCGACTTACTAAACGCAATAGCCAAATCCCCATACTCAGGGGGAACGTGCAATGCGGGCACCTGGTTTGGACTCTCCACCGAGGTAGCCCCTACGGAAACGCCCAAACATCGACCCACACACTGGGCAGACCACTCCATCAGAGCCCTCTCCTGCCACGAAATAGATGGGTTATGGGTACTCAACCAGGGCATGCCCAGCACCACCGGATACGCAGGCGAGTCGATCAGAAATAGCTGAATCATCTCCTGATGACCCCCCTGCGCACACATCCTAAGTGGCGCAGTGACCTCCCTGATCAAGCCCGCACCCAACGGACGGCTATCTAGGGCATGAACGGGGAAAGGGACATCAACAGGGAGAAGGGGAATCCCTAAGGCTAAACAAAACTTCTTATCAACAAAATTCCCAGCCGCGCCTGAATCTACCAGCGCCTTATGCTGGGAATGAGGTGCTACCTGTGGAAAACGCACAGGTATACAGAAATGTGCAACAGAGAGCTCTGGGTGAGTGGGGCGCCTACTCACCTGGAAGGACTCCCCAGTGCGGGACCTGTCGTCCTCTCCCCTAGGAGGCCATCCCCAGCACCTAGCCGCGGTGTGTCCTCCCCGACCACAGTTGGTGCAGGAGATGGACCCCCTCGTAAGCCGA